ATTACTAAGTAATAATCATTAGGTTATATTACTTGCTACTTTTATTTGTTGCATCACATCGTCTGATTAATGAAAAAAAAACGCGATTTTAACCCCACTCCAGCAAATCGGGAAAAACTGTTTTGTTTACAGCTCGAATTTCCTTGTTAATATCATTCCACTGAGCACGTTGTTGGCATGTGCATATATCTGATGTGGATAGATGCGTTTATTACCATGATTATATTTAATTTTTCAAGGAACAAGTCTTGATAATTTGTTGGTTTCTTTAAAACTCAAGAAAAAAGATAAAAAATGTCCTAAACATATGTGTTTACGTCGGGCCTTTTTTCTGTGGCGATAGAAGTTATTTACAAATGGGGCACTGCAAGGAGGATGCTTAGCATTTAATTTGAAAATGTTAAACAATATGCGGTGCATGAAAAACAATTATTAATTATATGTCTTACATTCGAAAAGTTGGAACATATGTCTATTTTGTTTAGCAGTTAGATAGAAACAAAAGGCAGTTATAAGATTTCCTTCAGGCACCTCACATAAATAGCTAGATTTCTTGCAATGACCCACATATTGTATGGAGTAATGTTTGGGCATAAAAACGCATCATATCTCATTATGTTGACAACGTTGTAAGCTTTCGCTCATTGACCATACGAAGCTTGATAAAATATATTGATTTGTTTCTTTGAAATTTAGAAACAAGCACAATGTTTGCAAAGAAAGGTCCATTGCATATGCTATGTCTATCATCGGGAAAAAAAAAAGTGAGAGGCTACGCCCCCCCCCCTCCCCCCCCCCCCCCCCCCCATAATCCTATGTTTGTTTGTTTTTCTAAATAGTGCCAAAGATTCAAAAAGTTTGCATTACTAAGTATGTGATGGAACATGTACTAGCCTTATGAGACCATTTGTTATAAAAATATTTGGTTGCCCTCTCTAGAAATGGCCCGACTCAATTTTTTTTACATCCCATTACACGATTTTTTTTTCTTCCGTCAACAAGTATGTTTAAATTTTAAAGAATTTTTTTCTCACCTATAAATACCGACCCAATAATTTTTCCCTGAGTTGAGAGGACCACCAAACGTCATTTTAAAGATGGTATGAAATATTTAATTATGGTGATTTTTTTTTTTCTTTACTCTGTAAAATTGTAATTTTCACAAAATGGGCAAATAGAAAATAGTTTTTTATTCATTAAATCTTCTAACCCACTCTGAATGATTTCATTCCTTTTCAAATGTTGCTCCGCTGTAATGAAAATTGTAAATGTTTATTTGACAGAGTATACGAGGGGTGATCAAAAAATAAACGGTATCTTAGGTATTTGATGGTTATATTATTGTTGAAATATTCGAGTATTTTTCAAAGTGTAAATTGGAAGTCTTTGATAGCAAAACTAAAACGATCTATCCAATCATTGATTGGATTTACAGGAAGTCATTGGTCTTAATAAACTGTGAACAAATTTTTATACGGTACTTCAAAGGCATTTTTAAGATATACCATAAATATTTTAGTCGTTTGTTGAACAAGTTCCACTAAGACAATCATTTTTCGTCACAAGTACTTGTATAATGACGTCATTTTCACATTGTGAGCAAAACTTTATTCAGCATATGCTATTCATAGAACTTGTGTTTGGCTATGTGTCCACCAAATTTGTTTCTAATTTGAATTGTGGTTTGTAGATACACATGTATAGAGATAGTTCGCGAACTTTTTGATCACCCCTCGTACTAGTAGGCACTAAAACAAGGTCATTCATATCGATTTTCTGTGTTTAATTTCTTTGTGTTTCAATGGTGATAATTAAACTTTTAATAGTTATTATAAGTTATCTGTGGCAAACTTACAAACTCTCAATTTTTAACTTTGATGGTGCTCATTTTACCTTTACTTGAATCAAAGAGTTTTAGATTTTTTTATATATCAACACGTACACTATTTAACAACTGTTCGATAATAATACTAAATAAATTACTTCAAGAAACGCTATAACACATTTCCTCTTTTAAAAGTGTTCATATTATTTGAAATATTTTGCAACTGTAATTCTCTTCTACATTTAAAGATTGTTATGTCCCTCCATATTAAGAAGAGGTCTGGAAAACAAAATTCTGTGCTAAAAATAGACCACGTGCTGCTATCCATGAACTACTTTCATGGTTCTTTACACTCTTTTTGAAGACAACGATACATTGTTTTAAACTTGAAATTATCATATAAAAGTGCAAAATTTAGACATTTTCTCAACAAATGGTTGTAGAGAGATCATTAATGCACAGTTTGCGTATTTTTTTGGATTTTTTAAGGCTTTGCTGAATTCTGTAGCTGCGCAGTTTTAAGGAGCATATCAAAAGCATTTTTCTGCAAAAGTATAGATTATATATGCACAACACGCATTCAGTTATGCATATTTATTGTATCTTTATCATAAAAACTTAAAATTTGATCAAAATATAAAGTATTTTAGCCATCTGAAGAAATGTTTACATTTTGTTCTCACTGCACTAAATGTGGCCGTACATCCCCCTTAACAAAAAGGGACAAGATATTAAAGAGTCAATCGCATCATCTCGGGTCTTTCCGTCAAAGGTCGGAAAAAACAACCTCGAATGTATTAACATCACCGGATGTTAAAAATTTATACATTTCCTGTTTATTCAAATACAGAATAGACGGAGTTAGAAGTTCCTTCTATGGTATATTTTAGGTAATATCATTACATTGAATAAAGTTAAACTCCATATTCCACAGACAAAAGGTCTCCATGCAATTATTTCAAAGATTGTGAAAAAGGAGGGTTGTCATGGCGGCTACCATATACATTCGAGGTCGTTTTTCCGCTTGTCGGAAAGGCCCGAGAAGTTGCGATTGATTAAAGAGTATCTTCTCTGAAAAAGTTATGGTGTACGCCTAGGATTAGGCTTTTTATTGAGATATTAGAATTTGCTTACAGATTACATCTGAAACGAAAATGCTAGACATATGGATGTTTAAAATTCAAATCTATTATATTATTATTAGAAAAAGACTCCATCCATGAGTCGTTACTTAGACTCGGATTGGCCGTGCAGCTTGAAAATCGATGATAATTTAGTACAGTAAATATGCTGCGCAAACGTTAGAACGGAATTATGACTTTAATACGACGGATGTGACCGGTCGGCAGGGATTTCCCACTCCAAAATAGCACCTGATCCCTCTTCTGATGTTTTAGAGGTCCGTAATTGTTATGCTCCTATTCTGTATTGTTTATGGACTTCTGATCTTGAATACCGTTCGTTATTTCCATGTATTTCATTGTTTGATTGATTGATTGATTGACTGAATGTTGCTTACGTCCCATATGAGTATAATTAACTTATGGAGAGACGTCACTATATACCGGTAAGGGGCTTCAAGTTTTTACCTTTATTCGCCACTCAGGGCCACTGAACAGTGGGGGACCTTCTTCATGCCAACGCCCGTCGTGACACGTGATCTCGGTTTTTAAGGTCAAACTTTCACTTCAAAAGCCGAGCGGATGGCACAGTTGCAACCCAATTTTTATTGACTTATGTCAGTCGTGGCCGAGACTGAACTCACGACCCCCCGATCAACCAAATGAGCTTCCATGGACGGTAAGGAAAAAGTAAAAGTCAAATTTGGTTGAAATCAACGAGTAAACAAACTAGTATGCATTATATCAGCAAAATGCAACCGAACGATAGGATGCAATTGTAACAGGGGTATGAGAAGGAACACATAAACTCCGGTCAGGTTCTTTGAATATATTTATTCACAATGGAGTGATCATAGGTATACATAGATAGCCGTGTAAATATCATAAAACAACAATAAATAAAATGCAAATAGCACATATATAGTGTTCATTACTTTACATGTAACAGGACGATAATATTTAGATCATCATCGTTAAAATCTTTCTCATTTTCATCAAAGGGAGATAACTCTCGAATATATAAATCTTTACCATGTTTACATATTTCTCCCTAAATAATCATAAAAAGTATCCAAGATTAAAACATATTATAATCTCACCATTCTATGGAACTAGGCTTTCCCAATAAATTGTATTAATCACAAAAGTCAGTATAAGTGATGATCTGTAATTTAATACAATGATATTTAAAAATATAATCTCTTAAAAATATACCAATTGCTCACTTTGAACAATATAATCAAAAATATTTTTGATCATCATTAAAACAAAAAATCTGTTTAACATTAAGTTACTTCTAGAAAATACTTCATATTGATCTTGTAATCAGTAATAAATATGCATCATAAAAAAACTTTGTCTCAAAATCATTCATTCATTTTAGTAAGTGCAAATGGAAATAGCTTTTGCATACTATAGGATAAACATTTAAAATAAGAAAATATTAGTAACTTACCAGAGAAGGAAATCTTCAGTCTCAAGTCAAGGTCTAAATATATGTTTGGTCTGATCAACCCATAGAAAAAAGAATGGCCATAACAAAGCGGGAAAAGTCTTAGAAAAGTCAAGAAAAACCAATCGAATCCGACCTTTCAAATCAATGACCAATAAAACCCAAAATAACAATGACCACTTCCAAAATACCTGATCAATGCCCTGGGGTATATACAAATATATAAGGTTATACAGGTAAGGGAGAACTAAGAAGTGGGTCTATATTTTTAATAACAAGTTAAATAAAAGTTAAAATAAATATTCTGACAAGTTCTCTAACTTTATTTTATACAAATCTAACACTATTACACAATTTCTACCAAAGTCATTACATGACCATAAAATTATCGATTTGCTACCTTAAACATTAAAATGAGACATAAAATCCAAATGCCGTTCAAAGTGTTAAATTTCTTCTAAAATATAAAATTTGCTAAAGAAAAGTTGAAGTCATAGCGGTGGCAGAACAGTGTTCTTGTAAGTTGGTCCTTATTGTATAACGTGCAACTGTTTCCGTATTAATGTATGTTTTAAGCTTATACATGTATTTTAGGTCATATAATACCATAATGGCATTGCTGAGAACAATTATTGGTGTGATTATTGTAAGAAGCGCATCTTCTGCAATTGTAAGGATTTTTTATTTTATTTTTTTATTTGATGAAGTGATATTCAACTTATGTGAAAATGAAAGAATTCCTAAAGCTACATGTAAAACACCACTGTACAGCTGTATGCTTAAAAAGATAAAATAATAAAAGCAATGTTTAACTGTTTTTATAAACTTACAAAGTCAATCACAAGATTTGAATTGAATATTTCAGTCATTTGTTCTTTAACAAAATGATTATTTTTGTTTTGAATGAAACGATCTAGGGCGATTACATAAACTGATAAAATTGTTTCCACGGGAGAAAAAGTATTTTTTTAATCCGAATTGTATCACTAGCAAGAATACATCAGAAGAAATAAATGAGCATTGATAACTTTATTGAATTTTCGATCAGAGTATTCCAAAATTTCGAAAAAGAATGTTGTATTGAGAATTTTGAAAGATATCTCTCAAAATGACATCTATTGTTGTTTCAGACTCAAAACTTTGCCTTTCAAGTGTTTCAAGTCGAAAGCTGTCCAATGAGTAAAGTGGATTGGGATTCAGCTTCAAAACGTTTGAATTGTAATACAACACATGGATATCATTGTGTTCCGGATAAATACTTCACCTCACTTATTGAGTTCTGTTATCCCCATGGATACAGACTACCTTTTGAAAGAGGTAAATATTTTTTTTTCATAAAAAATACAATAGACCTTGGTAATGTTATTGAAAAGCAATTCACATCAGATAAAATCATTTCATGAAGATATTAGATTTTTTATTTAATTAAGATATTATAGAATTTTAATCATTTTTAGGCATAATATTCGGATTTTTACAAACAATAGATAATCACTTTAACATTACCCTGCACTCTACCATAGCCATTTTTTACTTCTACTTTAAACACAGACAATTTTAAAAACATTTTAACTTCAAGGTAAAGAAAATCTTACTCAACAGAATTAACGAACACTAGTAATTAAAACAATCAGGATTGAAATCAAAGTAAACTGATACCCTAAGGTCGTCTAAGATACAACTGTTACATCAACTATTGAAATAAGTATCACATTGAAATAATTATTCAATAGTGGTTGACAGTCTCAAAACCAAGCACAGGTTGTAACCGCTATTGAAATAATGTTCACTATTGAAACAAAGATGTTAATGGAGGTTTTGAGCGCATATCAAAACCTAGACCAGGCGACAACTACTACTGAAATTATGTTCATTATTGGAATAAATATTTTGGTTGTGATTAAAATAATGAGTTCAATGGTGATTGAAATAAATACTATTATTTCAATAAATGCTGGCAAAGATTTTGATTCCAAAACCACTTTTTAACCTCTGAAACAAAAATCTAAGAATAAATTCTTCATTAAGTTTTCGATCATGATTAAACAAATTATTGAGTATATGCCTAAGACATGATATACATGTATAATTTGATGTAACATGGAGTACACGGCTGATGTGACTGTAGGCAGGGTATGGTCACTCCTATATATATGGTATCTTAGAAGAACTTTGATTTAATTCTACTTATACTCATACTCCCCTTTCTAAGAAACAAATTCTACAAATCATATGTCAGTTTTAAATATGTTTAATTTTTCAGAGCCATAATGAATTTGAACTGCCTTATATATATTGGATTCCGAATCTTCATAAACAAAGATACATTGCGGGTTCCATTAAATGTTTAACCAAGCCTCTTTCGTTACTCCTCACTAAGATATTGACAGTAGCGTAGGAAAAACTTCCACAGTACTGTGCAAATATATATTCAAGAACAGGTGTGAATCAGATGTGGATATTAAAAAATTCTAAAGAACTTTTGTACTATTTGAAATCAAAGAATTTTACCAAAATCTACAGCTTTAAAAACTAACGACTTTTCAACTTTATACACAACCATTCCCCATGATCAATTTAAGTCCAGGCTTTTTGATATCATTGACAGCCGCTTTTTCATAGAATGGAACTCTTTTTGACGAGTACCCGGGGACCACAGATAATGCCTTATTGAGACTTCTTCTTTACTTACCTGGTCATTGGTCATTTGCAAAATTATTTTGTTAAAACACATTCTGATTGCACACACAAGTACTCTGAAGTTGATATTAAAAAAAATGCTGGAGTTTCTGATTGACAATATCTATGTGGGTTTTGGAGACCAGGTACTCAAACTATTTATTGGAATTCCCATGGGTACCAATTGTGCTCTGTTATTAGCAGACCTATTGTTATATTCATATTAACCAGAATTTATGTAAAATAGTATGCGTGAAAAGAAGAAAACACTTGCTGTAGCCTTCAACTCAACGACCGTATTGTCAATTTACAATGGTAAATTCCATTCCTAACTCGATACAATATACAACGTACTAGTATCCTGGTGAGCTTGAGGTAAAAGATACCACAGAGTCGGACACATCTGTTTCATAATTGAATATTTCTCTTGAAAAATACGTTAATGGTAATCTAACAATTAAACTATATGATAATCGTGATGACTTTAACTTTTCTATCGTTAACTTCCCCTTCTTTTGCAGCATTATATCTGCGTTACCTGCATACGGATAGTATATATCTCAGTTGATTCGATACGCAAGAGTATGATCTACGTATGAACAATTTCTAAAACGAGGTAATTTATTCACAAGTAAGTTGATGAAACAAGAATATCAGCAGTCTCGTTTAAAGTCATTATTTTGTATGTTCTATGGTCGATACAATGACCTTGTCAGCAAATACAATTTATCATTGAGTCAAATACTGACTGACGTTTTTCATAATAATTGTTAGTCCATTATTTATACACTGAATTGACTACGATGTCTCCCGATCATGACAAGGAGCACACAGCGGGTGTGACCCGTCAGCAGGGATGCTCACTCCTCTATGGCACCTGATCCCACCTCTGATGTTTCGAAGGTCCATGTTTGTCCTGCTCCTATTTTTTATTGTTTTATGGACTTTGATATTTAATGCTGTTCGTATCTCCATATCCTCCTCCATGTCACCTGATCCCATCTCTGATGTTTGGAGGTCCGTGCTTGATCTACTCCTTTTTTGTTTTATTCAATGGACTTCTGAACCTGATTACAGATCGTTATCTCCATATATTTCATGTTTATGTTCCGTCTAGAAATATCATTGATACACGGATGCTAGTACTAGTATCCATGATCTAAATGATCATGTCGTTTTCAGTAATTTGTTTATGTAAGGTTCTTTTTTGCTACTAGTTGAGGAAAGTTGTGGTAACAACCTGTGTTTGGTGATTTAATGCACTTTTAACTTCTAATGAAATAGTTATTTCAATAGTGGTCTTTATTTCAAAAGTCGTTACAATTTATCTCCATTTTATGACATATTTCCTCACATGAAATATCTTTTTATGACATCTATTTTAGGTACCCGTGGATTTTCTGCTCATCGCAGTACAGTTAAGGCAACATTTTCTATAAAAAGTCACCGAAAACGATACAATTAATGTTTAACTATTTTATTTTTCAGCAAGACACTCTAGTTAAAATAGCTTTATGTTATCTTGAAGAGTATGTCCATTGCTATTCACTTCGGAATTTTTTTGATCATGTGACCCTCTAACGTCACGTGGGCTCCGATTTTAGGTCAACAAATGAAATGTTAAATTTAACCAAAAAGTTCAAGGGCAAGGCAAACAAACAAATAACTGCACAATGTTTTAAATTGTCCCTAAGTATCTATACTTTCACAAAAGTGATGCTCATTCAGTTGGTTTTCCGATACATTTAAGTTATTCACCTAAAACAGTCAGTAGTATATGTAAAATAGGGTATTTTCCAAATATCATCGGAAATTATAAATTTCCTAAATGATTACAAAGAAATGAGCATCACTTTTTGAAAACTATATAGTAAAATAAATAATTTAAAATAAAAACCTACTTATTAAATTGCCGCCTTGCCCTTGAACTTTTTGATTAAAAATTGACATCTCGGTACAGTCAGTCTTAATATAGTTTTCAAACGCATCGTTGACCCAGCATGGGAGATAACTCTTCAGTACTTGATAAAGTTTGTTTACCTCGTAGATTTTAACTATAGGCCTATAATTGCAGACTGCGCTGGGATCTTTTTACTAAATCGAACAGTATGCATAAAACACTTGATATTACTTTCTATTTTGTGACTTCGTTCTCTATACAATGTATGAATTATGTTTGTTATAAGACGTCTTTCAGTCCTTCTGCATTTCCTCGAATATGTGTAAACACACATGCAGCTACGTGTAACGTTTCTCGCAGCATGTAATTTAAAAGGCCGATTGTTAATAAAAATGGGAATATTCAATTAAAATAGTCAATTGAAAGCCTCCATCAATAATTAATCGATAAATTTATACATTTCTGTCACTGCTGTACATACATGTACACTTGTGTACAAATATTTTTTTTCGCATACAAGATTCTATCATGGCTTACTTTCAAACCTTCAACTCCTATGGCATTTAAGGTGTACGTTTTAAGAAGAAAGACTTAGTGGAAATCATAAATATTCCTGTATTTGTTAAAGGGACTACCATTTTTTTCCAAAAGAGGGGGGGGGGTTAGATCTCATAAATGTTGAAAATAAATAAGTCCCACACTGGATAAAAAATAAATAATCTGCCCCAGACCAGTGTTCCCCCCTCCTATAAATTATTTTTTTTTTTTAGCATGTCAGACATTTTTCAGTTTCAGTGAAGAGAAAAATAAATAATCTGTCCTTTATCTTATTGGAAATAAATATCAGTAGACCTGTCCTTCATTGACATAAAAGGAAATTATAAAAAAAAAATAATGACATGCCAAACTTTCCAACCCCCCCTTCCCTTCAGAATAAAATGGTGGTCCCCTTTCCTGTTTTGAATCAGTTAGGGGAGCCTTTAATCTCCTTTTCAGTTACTATTATTAAGAAAAACAAATGAACACAATGTACATGCTGGAAATAAAAACTTGATGGACATTGACACCCACCACACAAGTATATGCAAGTCAAGATAATCAAATCTTGATAGCCTTTTCAACACCTGTACAGTAAGTACATGTACATGTATATGAAAAAGTCAAATAATTTTTTATGAAGAAATTTTATTTCATAAACAGCTTTTCAAATTATGGTGGGTTGTACAAGGAATACTTTGCAGCTGCAAATCATTTCCATCACTTCATGTTCTTGTGGATGAAATCAATTCTGAAAATACATGTATGAGAAAATCACGACATACTTGTAGTAACATACCATTATTGAGAGTAAATTGGTGTTTAAAATTGAATTAAATTCAGAACAATGCATGGAAACATGCACAAACATTGGATGCATTAAATATTTGCAATTCTACTGTTATATTTTATTGTTTGCCTGGAATATTGCATTGTAATTTGGTCTATAGCTAATAAGGAGCATACCATTTTCCTTACATGATGGATTAACTTGCTGTCTGAATGAATCTATTGGTCCAATTCTTTAGGAATAGCTGCAACACATTATATATACTATTGCAATGAGATAACTAAATAAAATAATGGTATAATAATAAAATCACATTAGGCAATTCCAAGTCTTTTCTCTGTTGAGCGTCCACCCATCTTTCAAAAACCTAGCTACCTATTCACAAAAAACACACAAGTAAAAAAAAACAACAACATATTTTATAGAAATAAGAATGACGTAATTCAAAAGACATGATTTTATTTATCTATTTATCATAGGAAATTTATTTTCTTAAGCAAAATCAAAGTATTAAATACTGAAACTATTCAAATAATGAAATATTATTCAAATATTTAGAGATATTGCCAGAAATCACAAATTTTGTCCTTAATAATTAATTTTCGGACTCCTGATTCTGTTTGTTTTTTCTGACATGGGGTGTCAAAAACCAAAGCGCACGTGGACGCTAACATAAAAAAAACTTGGAATGGCCTTACATTTGACAAAACAACTTATGATATACTGTATGCTGTACATAGTGAATTTATGAAATTCATATTAAAAGATAAATGGAAACAAAGTTTTATTACAAAGCTTTTCTGGGAAATTAAAAACTCTGACATATACAAGAGCAAATAATTAGAATATGAAAAAACATTCTTTCATCTTTACAAAATGAAAAATAAATATAATCATGCACACATGCATGATTTAAAAAATGTGAAATGCTTTATAAGTGTACATACCATGTGGAGAAATGGGTGCATTTTGTATTTATCTATTCTTCAAGCCTGGAACTCTTGACTGCTACAATAATAAAACTTAAGTATTAGGCCCTATATATCATATAAGTAAAAAAATATTTATGCATAAATTACAGAAATTAATTGACTTGACATGAAATAAAACAAAAAAAAAATACTTTATCCTATTAATTTAGAAATTCTATAAATTTAAAACCATAGATCTAAAGTGGAGGTTCTTTGTTTTCAACATAATGATACAGATAATATTTTTACATTATGTAGCATGTTTGTATGCCAAAAAGACAACATTACATGTTCAGTAAATCATTGTCAACTCATTGACTGCAGCAATGAAATTTCAAATTTAATTTAGTTTAAGTTTGTATTACCGTTGAACCCCTTTATTACAAATGCTGTCTCAAAGAAAATAAGCTAATCGACTCTATATTTAGTACAGTTACATTTTTAAATTTCTAGTTAAAAAAAGGGATCAAATTTATGTGGGAAGGGGGGGGGGCACACACACTGCACTGCATTAGTTTTTCACTGACTGTGATAATGCATCTAAATAAACATGTACACACTCGTGATCGTTTTTTTTTATTCGATGTTAGCGAAAGCATATCTACACATTGTACATGTGCATACATACCTGGGCTGAATGCACTGCAGTGATGGATCTAGGGAGCTAGCGCAGATCGTCTCAGTCTTCCGTTATTTTCTGTAATCATGTCCTCATAATCTCGTAATAGGGATAAACAATGCTTTGTCTCTTATCTTATCCATATTTTCTTTAAAGAATGTCTGGTTATTGCATTTAAATCCATTGCATATCTCAGCTGATGTCGCCACGTTTTTAGATGTAAACAACATTCCGTGTCATCGAGTGCAAGCGCTTGGCTGAAGCCGAATACAGCCAAACGGTACATAAGAAAGATAATTATTTTAAAAACATGCTATTCTACATAGGAGAAAATCACTAATAATTACTTATTTAAACTTGGAAATATTGCCGTTTGTTACAAATTCTTGCAAATATCGGTCAATAGTTATTTTGAGCTCTATTTCCTTATAAGGATCAATCAGGGCGGAGCAACTGTCATGACGTCAAACCTCATTATGACCTCATTACCATATTTTTTCCATGGGTTGCCTTAACCTTACTGCGATGGAATAGAGATTGTTATTTTAAACCCGATTTTTTTTTAGGAAATTGTTTGGAATTAGCAGCAAATGGTATTTTGAATCACGTCCCTTGCCACAGTACTTTTTCTAGTGGATGTCCTTCTCAGTTCTACTTTAGCAACGAACTTTACAAATGTGAGTTAAGCCCAGTGTTGAAAATTCTTCTCGCATTGGTTCAGATTGTATAATTTCATTATTAAACATAAAACTAGTTGATATTTTTACAGATCAAAAGTGTTTGTCAATTAACACGGAGCTAGGATGTTTCGATGCAGATGTACCTTGCATTTTGGAAAAGTAAGGGTCATTGGTATAATCCATAATATAAAAATAATACATATTCCGTGGATGAAATAAAATAAATTTATTTTCATTGTAAAGGTGGAAACAATAAACTGAATAAAAAACAATGTGTATACATAAATTAAGTATTCAAATCATAATAATTATGTTTAAAATGTCACTTCTTAAAATTCTTATTAAAATCCTTTCGTTGGGTAGAAATTTTTTTTTTTAATTTTCAGCAATGTTAGATTGAATACATGTACATGTATCTTAGTAGTGCTGCGTCTTTTGCAAAAATCTTTTTCCTATAATATCTAAATCTATTCAATGTTTTTTTTTTTTTTTGATTTCTTAAGGACGATTAATCCTGCGCTTTTAAGCAGATTTTGGAATAGACCTTTAAGTTCTAACATTTACCTTTTATTTAACATTACAAAATTGCATTGAGAAAATCAGCAGTCAAAAGCTTTCGTTTTATAACAGATCGGGATTTAACACAACAAACCACACCATCAACTCTGTGTCTCCAGTTAATTGCACTGCTTTGGATAAAACACCGAGCTGCAAAACGAATGACACCACATGTACAGCGTCTATCGTCTTTATATTTTTACTCTTTTTTATCATTTTTGGAATGTGTGCCCTTTTTATAAGAGCTATATACTGGAATAAAAGAAAAGGTAGGGGAAAAGCTTTCTTAAAGACGAATGCTTCACCAAAATTTTATTTAATTGATCTTAATGACTTCTCATTTCAAATATAGCATATTCGTATTGATATTGATATTAACTCTTCATTAAATCATATGACCTCAGTGTCACAGGCACCTGACACCTTTATTTTTCTTTCAATAAAACATATAAGATACACATCGGACGCCATCTTGAATTTTCTAGGTCCGTCATATCCACTTGTATTTTTTTTCTGAAACTCCATAAAATAAATTCCCTGCAACCATATTCTTTCTGTGGCCAGTCTTCCGAGGTCTAAACTTACAAAAAAATGCAAAATGGGAAAAATAAAACAATTATTGTAAATATTACTTGAGAAATATACTGTATTAATCTATACAGATCGTTGCGTTCAATAAACTTTGATAAAAGAAGTAAGGATGCTTGACATTAAAAAAAAACCAATCATGTAGAGTTTCTTGTACAGTTTTTATAAAAGCAATAGACAGCAAACCATCCAATTATTTATATACTAGTACCTGGCATATGCTTAACTGAAAAAAGAGGGGTCACACTGATAAAACAATGTACGTAATGTTCAAATACGAGCTTAGCTTTAAAATGCATGTTATAACGTATTATCTGTCACCAAAAAAATTGGTTCGGACAATAAAGATAGCAATGTTACTATGCCACTGCATTATTGTAATATATGAAATTGAAGATCTCAGCACTCCCTGGAATAATTTTAGAGTGCTCTCACACACAAGCGTACATACTGGTTTTTATAAATTAAGTCAATAGTCAACGGATGGTGCTCAAACAGTACATCAATAATGACAGTTGATTGATTGATTGTATACGGTTTAACGTCCCTCTCCAGAATATTTTACTGATATGGAGACAATAATGACAGTGTTATCAATTATATTTAGTGAGTGTAGGTAGGGACTTGCAAGCGACTCAATATTTTGTTTCGAAAATGTTTATCGGCATTATCAGGCCAATCTTCGACATTTACAAAATAAAATCGCTTTTATCAAGCTATATTGAGATTATTTTGTAGGGAAATAAAAAGAATTGTCTTATATTACGTTGTATTAGTGTCTGATAGATTGCTTTTATAAAGTGCAAAAAATTTTCACTTTTCTATATAATCCTATAATGCACTTGTATTTTAAGACAGTCCCTCCAAAAATATACCTGGACGGTAGATTTTCCCCAATCTTGACACATACATTGGTCAATATACGTTACATATGGTGTAAAATTATAGTTTTTCTCTATTGTAGTTTATCACTCAAAAAACCCAAATCGGCTACTTTAAATCAAACAAAAGTGTAGAATTGACCATTTTTCTCCAAAATATCATTTCATCTGAAGATATAGATTACAATTATTTTTTTAAACAATTCAACTCAAGCATATTTTTAAATGGCTATTGTATAATCTGCAAAATATATAACAAAGTGAACTTAATAAATTAATTTGATGCAAAATGACAATACTTTTCTTAAAAGCTGATGATTGACACACCTACTTTGTACCCTAGTAGTGCTGCGCCTTCTGCAGAAATCGTTTTCCTATAATATCTAAATCTTTTCAAGTGTCTTTTTTCTGTTTCTGAAGGGATCTAAACAACTTATTATTTTAACATATATATGATATTTCTTAATAAAGAAGTGACTGCATTTATGTTCTGTTTATTAAGATTTTGAATGAACATGGGCGAAGATATCGATCGATGATCGATAATAAAAAAACAACCAAAACAATATTGACAGGATCAGGTGTCTAGGAGGAGTAAATTATAAAAAAAAAATTTCTACTACATGTGTTTGGAAAATTTCCAATGCTATCATTTATTTTCCTTCAACATATTTCGCCAAGGTTAATCTTTAAATTCACATGGTTAATTCTATTTTCTCTTCCTTTTTTGTTAAGATAGTTCAATGAAGAAATTTTTTAGGAAAAATGGTAAGTCTTTTTGTTTGTTTAAAATTTCATTTATTTATTTATTACACCACATACACCATTTAAACAGAGTTTTCCTTAGCCTTTTTTATATCAAGAAAAATAATATGGAGAAACTTACTGTTATGTGCTTTAAAAAGGTTCTTTTTAATTATTATCATTCTTAGAATTAATCAAATACATGTAGATAAATTCATAACAATAGATGTACATGTACTACAGAAAATCAATGATTATTTCAAAAATTAGATTTTTATAGAACATTTGATTAATACGTTACTGGGGAAAATTTATAAGCAGAATCTCAGAAGTTTTCTTCTTTTTTTTGAATTATCATGCTTTTTATCAATTTTCAGGCGAATCCAGTGATATATTTCTATTGTTGGAAACGCAGAGCATCAATGGTAAAATATCTGTCATTATCTTATTTTGAACCGAGATTTAACGGTGTTTCACTTGTTCAAAGGTATGCTATTTTTTAATGGACATGCAGTCGAAAAAACCTTGGGCCAGTTTCACAAAACTGTCTTATGACTAAGTTCAGTCTTAAGACAAAAAATATCTTAAGATTGCACCATAGCTCCTTCACAAAAACGTCATATTTTATGATAATCGTAAGATCTATCAAAATTTAAAGACAACTAGATACATGTCTTAATAAAATCTAAAGTGAAACTGGCAACAGTATATATTTTGGCTAAATCGAAGGATATTTAAAGATAAACAGTTTTTAGAGATAGAACAATCCTTTGGACTATATCAGGCCAGACGAAACAATAACCCCCACCCATCCCCACCCCCGCAAAAAATTATTTGCCAATAAATAAACGATAAAAACCCTTAAATGTACCTACTTTATGTTTTTTCCACTTTATTCATTTGGATGCATTTTTTTTTGCCTCCCAACTGAAATTGCCCCCCCCCCCTTCCCGGCCAAAAAAATGCTTCTTAAGGCCATGTATGTACATTTGTGTAAAATTCATATATAACTTTATTGAAAATTGTTTCATTTGAATTCCATACCCCGCAAGAATATCTTTATAACTATGACTAAGCATTGCTAACTAAAGCAGATTTTAAAATGGCTAACGTAATTCCAGATCCTTTGTACGAGATACTTAATGATAGGTTGCGTAAATATCTTTTTTATATAAATAAAAATACGAAGCATACGCATTTTTATGGATTAGATAACTCCATATGCGTTTTTAAAAATCGAACTTATATGTAGCTTCCCTGCATTTTTTCGACGTTTTACTTTATTTTATTACATCGTGGTGATTAATTTTCCCAGAAATTCGAAAGTAAACATTTCATTCAGTCGTACAAAATTAGATGAAAATCAAATGATTATATTCTTCAGGTATCCCTCATTAATCTACCGGAATGTGTAATGCGTATGAAAATCATGATGTAACATTTGATACTGTATGTACATGCCTTTTTCCTTCTTTCTAAACAGTAATGAAATTGTAAAATTTTGATTTGAAATTGTTCTTTCGTTTCCTTTTTTTTCATCTGTAAGAATTGTTATTTTGTTGCAGTAGTTGAAGCGTTTAAAAGACACCTTCATAACATTTTATGAACGAATTTGAATTTTGAAAACGATTTGGTGTTTCAAAAGGATTCATTGCTATAATCGGTCATAAATTGCAAAGGTTCAGATACACTAGTAGCTCTTATTAAAATAGTATCATAAATTTCGGCAGCAGCTACTATTTTCTGAGCAAGAAAACATTTAAACAAATTTTATTCAATATTTTTTTGTGATAAAATTATTTCAAATTTAATTTCATGACCCAATCCATAACAAACACAAATAAAGAGCAAGAGCCATCTTATGCATAAAATGGGCCTGTACTTATATCATTTATTAAGTATCACCCTCTTTCCCATTTCATATATCAAAATAGATAGACACTTGGTGCTTTTATTTTCTATAATAAAATTTTGTTTTGAGAATCTAGATATTGGAAAACAGATTCGAGAAATTGCAATGTTCATGATTTGCAGAAAACATGCATACGAGGGGTTATCAAAAAGTTCGTGGACTGAGGCTATAAAATTAGCACTATGTATTCTGTGCTTTCAAAATTTATAAGGGACATAAAGCAACAAAAGTAAAGAAATGTTGAAAATTTGAGCTTGATTCGCTCATTTTTTGCTAAAATATGATAAAATAACAAAGACATGATATGGTTACCCGGCGCCGTCGCCGTTTAGCTTCATTGTTTTTCAATGTCTGCTTCTTCTACCTCATACACTTAATTTGATGAGATTCCCTGGAGTTGAGCAAGGACTTAAACCCGTCTTGTTTTTATGACTTACAATGTCAGGAACAGCGGCTTTAAATGCATATTATATTGCAAATGGATTGATACATTGGGAGAGATCCTCGCTCGATTGTGCCAGCATATTTTGCTTTTGGGAGTTTAATATCTACAACATATGATCAGCGTCATTTTTGACGTGAATGATTTTTCACACCTTGACTAGGAATCGACATTAACTGTGCATCCCTTTTCTCTCAGAACCTCTTTTGCATTAAAAAAAAACAAGTACTCTGGAAGTATTAATTTTCTCCATAGCCAGTTTAAACATTTCATAGGTCTATACCACTTTTTTCAGGGCCAAACTTTATAGAATGTTGGAAAATGAAACCCCTCCCCCCTTTTGACGTCATTTTCAAGGACTTATTTGTTTAGACACCTCATGTCAAATTTACGATAAATTTTCATGGAATTTTCAGTATGAATTGAAAACTTTTATGAAGCAATAGTGTCCCAACATATACCTGAATTAATCAGATTTTTGAATGTCAAATGTTCATATAAAAAGAGTTTTTCTTAGTTATGCTTCGGTCGAAAAAACGCCGTATTCGAGGTCGCGCCGCCTGGTCATACCATAGCTTACAAAAACATTACTAATTTATTTAAAAATAAAATTTATGATCTGCGGTTTATTTTATAGATAGAAAAAATGACGCTAACCATTTTAAAATTCATTGATGTACCTAAAGTGGTTTTAATTTTATGGCGCCAGTCCACGAACTTTTTGATAACCCCTCGTATATGACTACCTTCAGCAAAGAATTAAAATATGAGCACAGCCTACGATCCAAAAAATAAAACATGTTTTTTGATCTTCGGAAACAGAGCTTTTATTATGTATTTGCATATTTTGGATCAGAGGTTGTGCTCTATATGAATTTTTTTTTTAAAAACGCCTCAACTTTAGGTCATTTTCAAAGGAATTTACAAAATATGAGGAAAATGACGCATTTCGTGACGTCATAATGCATTGACTAGATGAGAAATTACGTCACAATTAATAGATACGTGGTCACCAACACTCTAAGTGATAAATACAGCATTTGCAACCTAAACTGAACGGTTTTGATTTTTCAGAAATTCTCAGGGCCAAATAAGGCCCTAAGTGGCTCATGCTCTTACATTAAAGGTAATGCTATAACATGTTTTTTTAGGGTATTTCTGCAAAATTAAAGAAAGGCAAACATATTCTAAAAAATTCTTAAGTTAAACAGCAGTGACAAATCTTATGATTGTCATATCAGATCTTAAGATGATCGTAAGATCCATCATACGGCAAATCTTACGATAGTTTTGGGAATCCCAGCTGCCTCCAGATATTTATGAGGCGGCTGCGAAATAATTATTTGGCGACTGCTAGATAAAATATTTTTCTGCCTGACAGATGTCAACTTCGTTCCTCTAGAGTAGGATTACTCCAACAAAATTTAATCCTTAATTAGATTCAATTTTCCGGGGAGAAATTCTACTTTGAAATAGTCGTAAAGTGCAATTTCTTTTGCGTGAAATATATGGAAATAACGATATGGAAATATGGAAAGAACAAACTCAAAAGTCCATTTAACAATATCTTTTTCGACTTAGGTCAGTCGATCGTGTCTAAAAACCCACCACCTTCCGAACACCAATTGAGCGCTCTATCGCCTGAGCTATTGTGGTAGTCGATAGTTATAAGCTATCGTTATAACCCAGTCCATTTTATTATGACAAGAATTGCCTTCTAAATTTTAATAAATATGAAATGTACCCATATTTTCAAACAGATTGATAAGAATTAAAATGTATCGTTATTTTGGTGTATATATTCATAAAAGTCAATGTATCAAATTATTTTCAGGAGATATAGAATTTTCAAATCTGATAAACGCCTGCAGAAATGGTGAGTATAACCAATATCATTTATTGATATCAAAGGAAGAAATAAAACAAACAGAGGCAATTCGAAAAACAGATAGAAAAGGTCGGAATCTTTTACATCATGCTGTTTATGGCGGGAACTATGACATATGTCATGATTTGTTGAAATACGATGAACTAGACATAAAGGGGACCGACTTTATTGGTAGAAATGTTCTTCACATAGCTGCTAAAAAGGGAAACCCAAGGATATTTGAAAAAGTGCTTCAAAGTGTGCAAGGCAATGAAATGTTAGATGAAGAAGACAAAAATGGTCTTAAGCCGTTCTGCTATGCTGCACTTGCTGGGCATGTTTCTATATTGGATATTATAAAGGACAAAGGTTTTGATATTGCCAAACAAACAAAATATGGGGAAACTATTGCTCACCTTGCTTGTATTGGGGATAGTTTAGAAGTTCTACAACTGGCATCAGCATTTAACGATAACAGAAAACAAGGGTCTTTGAAATCAGATAAAGAAGAGGAAAATGAAATACTGAAGAGGAAAAACAAGATGAATTGGAATCCTCTTCAATATGCAGCTAAAACGGGAAATGTGGAACTATTGGAGTTTTTGTATAAGAAACAAGTCAGCGTAATTAATCCAACCGATGATTTAAAATATGCATTTCATTCTGCCTGCGAAAATGGACGTCTAGAAGCATGCAAATTTATATTTAAAAAATGTCCTGATAGTATTCATGACAAAGATAAAGAAGGAAGACATGCAGGTCATTTTGCAGCAAAAAGTGGAAATGTTAAAGTATTGCAATTTCTCATCGATGAGTGTAAGCTAAAAGCAGATCTACCATCTGCGCAAAATGTCAGCATTCTGCATATCGCCTGTCGACATGGTCGTTTCAAGATGTGTCAGAACATTGCTGATAAATACCCTGATTTAGTTAAAAAGGAAAGTAGAAAAGGGTGGAATGCTGCCTTGTTTCTTGGTGATCGCGGAGGGGCTAATGAAGAAAGAATCAAAATTTTGTCGTATTTAGTGCAAAAACACGATTTATTTGTATATCATGTTTCAAGAGCAGGAAAGTCCATTTTATACAACGCCTGTGCTAACAGGTCTTTTAAACTATGTAAACATCTTCTTGAAAACTATACTGATTTACTGACAATAGAGCGTTCAATGGATTTAAAGAATGGCGCAAGCGATAAAAAAATAATCAATCTCCTGGAAAAACATTTAGAGAAAATTTCAGGCAGAGACTGAAGTTTATGTTAATCATCTTTACAAATGTATTTTGATTTAACAAGTATATTTTTAAAGCATTCTGAAAAACCTGTCTCATATACACTAACCCTTATATGAAAAAAATGAAAAAAAAAATGTTTATGACATTGTATATACTTGCATTTTTGTTGTCAAGACAATCTTCTTTATAGAACTTTATACTATCTTATCTGTGATATCTTTTAAAATATTAATTTCATTGCTAAAAATTGTTTTTATTAAACTCCAAGTTTTTGGGGTTATGCATGTGTATGTATGCATTTGCTAGAGCATATTGAATTACATTGTGCTACAACGTACATAATGTACTCATTAACACAATACATTTGAGTTATTTTAAATCCTTCATTTTACCAATATTTTGTGTGAAGTTTTGGCATTCATACGAGGGTCTTTCATGAAGTCTATGAAAAGTACATGTAGTTATGTCATTTTACACGATTAATATACTAAATTATTATACCAAAATTTACCAAGAAATGCTATATCTAAAGAAACCATTAGTGCGAAAAGACTAGAATTATAAACTTTACAGAATTAATACATTATATTTTTCATTAAACAATTTTAATTGAATATGATTTGTGTGTAACCTACCTGCAGCAGTTTACACCTGGTGTTGAATTGCTGAATAACAGATAAGAGAATGTCAAAGAAAGACCAAAGGAAGTATATGTCATTGAAAACGTCCAGAAAGGTGATGTTGGCCTGCTAAACAGACGAGCTTGGACCATGAATGTACTATGTGTGTATTTGTTGATTTTGTTGAACAATTTATGATTGGATAAACAGGAAATGGTGAAAAGTTTCTTATCGAATTACAAATGTCACTGACCATTTTATCAGTACAGTCTGTGTGATGCTGCAGGAAGTGAAAGACCGCTCAAATGTGTTGAGGAATTCGAAAGTATGTTTGTATATTCATGATGTCATATAACGTCAGACTGGCCTTGGATCTAGAGGGTGCTAATAACTTTTTGTATTTCTTTGATCCTTAAATTTACACATTACCATATAGTATTTCAAACAAACATATTGTGTGTGTTGACGACATTTTTGGACACCCTTCTCCTTGTTTTCTAACACGGTATTAGGTGTTTGTCTAAATATTATTTTTTTTATTTTCGTCTGAAAATACTTATTTGCAAGTAAGATTGAAATGCACGTAAAACTTTGTTATTCTTTTTTGTTTTAATCTCAGTGTGTATGTGTGTACTACATTATTATGTTTGCAATGATTTTCTTTCAGTAACTTTTGCAAAAATCCGATTGGAATATGTTTACCAGAGATTTGCAGACGTTAATTTTTCTTATATTTTATGCATCCTTATTTCACTCTTTATATTTATAAACTAACAGCGATAATGAATTGAAAAAAAACAAGAATTTAGAGCCAATCGTATCAGTTAATATCATCAAATGATATCAGATATATTATATGTATTACATGGAGATTTTTCTTACATCAAAGGTAATTTTTAATAAAAACAATTTCAAATGTTGAGATTTGCATCATGATAATCTGAAAAACTACTCGATGTACTTTAAAAGGAAATAATAAAATTTAGCCAATAATTTGTCTAATATTTAACAAATACCTGAACAGATTAATTTTGTAAGAACGCTTCATCAAATCTAGGAAAGTAAGAATCCTGTTGTCAAGAAAATAAAGACTTGAAATTTATCTTAACATCAGAGGTTGGATAGAGTACTTGAGAAATAAAAATCCCCTTGAAAACCGGTATGTATGCAGTAGCTTAAATTATACATAAGAAGAAAAACATTTGCTGTGACCTTCCACTCGACGTTTAGAAATTTCGAGGACGCATTTATTTACTTCCATACAAAAATATCACAGAGTCGGACACATCTTCAAATAGGTTATTTCAGTGGAAAACTAATAATGAGGTGATCTCGTCTTCAGGGCAATTCATAGTATCCATGAGCACAATTGCGCCCTATTATTTGCAGAACTAATTTTGAATTTATATGGATTTATATATATTTATATGAATTCGTTCTTTTACGTGAAAGGAATATTGATTGATTGACTGCGACACGGGACCTCGGTTTATACGGTCTCATCCGAAGGACTGGTCTCCACGTCCAACAGTGGGATTCGAACCCGCGACGTAAGGATTGACTCCTTACTTCGCGACTCTAGACCTGACGCTCTAACCACTGCGGCACGCGGGCGACACGTGAAAGGAAGAAGACACTTGTTATGGCCTCCAACTCGACAATTAGTATAGGACGACGTATTATCATTTAACATAGCCTTTTCCATATATGTCGACACGATATACCAGATACGCATGAAATACAAGATAGCAAGAAGTCTGACACATCTGTTTCATATTTGGATATTTTACTAGAAAAAAGACCTAATGGTAACCTAACAATGAAGCTTTATGAAGAACGTTATAACTTTTCAATCGTCAACTTTCCTTACTTATACAACAATATACCTTTGTCCCCTGCATACGTAGTTTACCCCAAGTTGACTGGATACGCAAGAGCATGCTCTACTTATCAACAATTTCAAAAACGAGGTAAATTATTGACAAACAAATTGATGAAGCAATAATTTCAGCAGTCTCGTTTACAGTCACCATTTCGTTAATTTCTTTGATCGATACAATGACCTTGTCAGCAAATACAATTTATCATTTAGTCAACTGACTGACGTTCTTCATACAAATTGTTGAGCCATTTTTACACCCTGATCTATCAACGAATTTTCCCGTGACATGGCGGATGTGACCGGTGGGCAGGGGATGCTCAGTCATCCATGGCACCCGATATCACCTCTGATATTATGGAGGTCCGTGTTTGCTTTGCATGTTTCATATACTTTTGAGCTTTAATACTGTTCGTGATCTCCATATATTTCATTCAATAGTTTTTCTATATGAATATTAAAACATGTTTCTAGAATGCAAATCTACGTTTCTCCTAATTTTATTTTCAATTTGGCACAACAAATAAAACACTGTCTTTAGTTTTCGGGCTAACAAGATTCAACCGCACTTGACAGTGAAGTATACATTTCGCTTTACCTTTGTAAAAAGAAAACAAAAAAATAATTATCTTACAGATTCTGGCAAAGAAGATACTTATCATATAATTCATGGAATTTTCAACGATATTGCTTTTTAGTGTTTTATTACTATATTTATTTTTAATGCGATAGTATTACAAGTATAGTACGTTTGATGTTGAATGAATTAGTAGGACAACTAAAAAAATTTAATTTTTGGAACCTGGAATCCCGGCAATATGTGTAGATATATCTGTATTTGAAAACATTTTCTCTTTAGAAAATGAGATACGAGGTCGGAAAACATGTGAAATGCCAAAACGCGATTAGTAAATAGAAATTATTCACGCAATCCTTTAATTCAAATGTGATAAATTATATTCCTTTTTTTCATTACCAGAACTGTTTTTTTTTTAATTTGATTAAATTCTTTTCAATGATTGGGAATTAATATGAGCACACTGCTTGGCGTACATGTAATGTATACAAGTGTGTACTTGTGAGTAGATTATTGAATGATATTGAATAATAAACTTCCTGTTCAATTTCTTCCTTGATAGATTTTTTTGTCCATGCCCTTTATTTCTTTTTCTTTCAACATACTTAGATTTTTTTTGTCTACGCCTTTATATTTCGATTTTTTATGAGAACCGAGATTATGAAGATTTGTGTGAATATAATAGGCCTACTTCTTTTTGCCCATTTACATGAGGTAAACGATGAACCTGATGATTGGGTAAGTTCGTGTATTTCAATTTCCTCATAGATGGAAATTTATTTTGACTGGCTTGTACAAATACATTCTACAATTTTGAATCTGTATAGTTAACTTGTTTATTTATAGAGTTTTTTCCGTTACGCTTAATTCTTTTTTACATGTCTTGCAACGCAAATAAGACACCAAAAATTATATCAGAAAGACATTAATAATTTTTTTTTATTTAATAGACAAGTTGAAATATATCAAATATTTTTTATTAAAAGATTGTAAACGGACATCATTTAATTTTCAGGCACACATTAGGCAAATCATGGCATATAGTGCATTGCAAATAATGATAATTCAAGAATATCAGCAGTCTCCTTTAAAGTAATCATTTCTTAAGTTCCTTGGTCAATACAATGACCTTGTCAGCAAATACAATTTATCATTGAGTCAAATGCTGACTGACCTTTTTCATCAATTGTTAGTCCATTATTTATACACTGAATTGACGACGGATTTTTCCGTTGCTTCCTTCCTCATCTTGACAAAGAGCACACGGCGGGTGTGAACGGTCAGCAGGGAGGGGATGCTCACTCCTCCATGGCACCTGATCCCACCTTTGATGTTTTAGAGGTCCTTGTTTACCTTGCTCCAGATTTGTATTGTTTTGTAGACTTTGATATTGAATAATGTTCGTTATCTCCATATCCTACATGCATAGTAAATAAACAAAATACGTAATTTTCCAGCAATATGAATACAAATTCAATGTGACTCAAGTTGAAAAATGCCCAATGAGCAGAGAGGAATGGGACGCTGCATCCGTCAGACTGAAATGTAACGATACACATGGCTACCACTGTGTTCCGGACAAGTACATGACTTCTCTAATAGAGTTCTGCTACAATCGTGGGAGCAAACATTTGAGAAAGGTCTGGGGAAACTGTTCATGTAGTTAACAATGATCTTAGAAGAAAGAAATCAATGCAATTCAATTTGAAATAAATCATAAAATGGGTCAACATTTCTAGTTTAAACGAAATATACACACGATTTATTGATCATTAATCCCCCTCCTTTGACTTCTTTAACTTGAGATCAGATTCATCCTTCTTCCCACATTAAAAGCTACATGTAGATATACATATATGGTTAGGCCTATTCTCCCTCACCATAGCTTTGGTTCATCAAGTATATGCAAAACTTCTCACTCGATCTAATCTGATCCATCCCAATGATTTTTTTTCTTGTGTTATAACAGGAAATTGCCTTGAATTGGCTGCAGAAGGCATACTTAACCATTATCCATGTAAGGATACATTTCTGTGTGGTTGTCCAGAATCATTCTTCTTCAGTAATGAAATATACAAATGTGAGTTGTTTTCAATACTTTATTTCTTTTATCTCTTTTTTTCTAGAGTGTGGTAGGTTTTGCATTTTTTTCTTGCTTTATACCGATCGTTTTACAAAGTGAAATATAAAGAAAACATGTTTTGCTCTATTGCTTTGGGGATATATTTTAATATCCCCCATAAAGGGGCATTTTTTATACTTTCATATTGTTAAAAATAGATTACTTAAAGAAGTTTTCGTAGAAATAAAAAGTTTTTATTCTAATTCAAGCAAGAATATATGTTTTCCTTTCATTTCAAGATCCTAAATGTCTACAAATCAATCCAGAGCTTGGATGTTTCGATGCTGATATTCGCTGCATTACTTCAAGGTCTGTGTTACGTAAAGGGCCAGTTTCTGCAATGACTAGAACTTACATACCGGTATATTGGCTGGTCACGCGTAATCCATGAATTTCTTTAAAATCTCTGTCATTAAGGTTTTTATTTTAAAAACATGTAATTGTTGCTATATATATCGTTGTGGTTACAACTGAACCTTTTTCCCTTTGTTGTAACGTTTTAAAAAAAACATTCTTTTCGTTATCAAACTATTAACATTAGACTTTCACTCTACCATATACATTTTATTGCCAGCTACAAGTATTAAATCTGGTTCAATAAATTCAAAATCAGCAAAATATTATTACTTATGTCCTCTCCATGATTATACAAAAGTATAGCGTTGAATAATGAATTTCTTCTTTGTGTGTGTGGGTGTGTGAGGGTGTGTGTGTGTGTGTGAGGGTGTGTGTGTGTGTGTGTGTGTTACAATGCCTTTTTAAATATAAATGTGTCTATATTTAGCAGTTTTGATTCTCCATGTTTGTGAAAAGTGTAAAAGTGCCAACCATTTAAGTAAAAAACATAAAGTAAAATTCCAAATACTTTCTTATTCCTTCGGTTATTTCAGAAACCTTTTGTGGTTTAATTTTTATTAAAAAAAAAAATGAAGAAACCTCGCTTCAATTTTAGAAAAAGAAACATACAACGACCAATATATGTCCAATTTTGGTTTATAGTACCACACTATAACGATGAGCAAAGTTTCATCAAATTGCTGACCATTCGTGTCAATAAAATTTAATGTGGTAAAAGACACACACTGGCTATGAAATACAAAGACTTAAAGATATGCATACAAAGTAATTACTAACAATTATCAATTTGATTTACCGGTATTTTCTCTCAAATTCAAATAATGTTTAATCGAAGATCTCTTTAAAAACTAATGGACCATCAGATACCTATGTAAATCTAAAAATACATAAACGTGCACAAACTTTCTATGTTTGCTGTTTTTGTTTCTTATAGAGCTTATAGAGCTGGTTTCTTAAACCAAACGGGAAATCTAACGACTGATGAAGCAAAGGTTTTTAATTTCTCTGCCAAGTGCGACGATACAAATATTCAATGTGTTGTTTCAAAGTAAGTGTCCTGTATGTATACGAAAGAATTTTTTTTTAATTCTTATGTACTAGTATTTTATTTTACATAGAAACATTATGACAATATGCCTGTGTTTATAATAGTATGGACAAAATGCGTAGAAGCAAGCACTATATCAAATATAATTACATTGCAGACTCTCATTTCCATTGTGTCAAACGACTAACAAAAGCATTCAATGTAAGACGTTCTCCAAAACTGATGACAAATGGAGAACCACCACTGTAGTTACGATTTGTGTGATTGTATGTGGCCTTGTCATGTATGGTATTTACTGGATATACAGAAAGTTTCAAAATAAAGGTAACTTTACTAATCCTCGAGACTCTCAAACTCGTCTTTTTAACAGTTTAAAAGCTCTGCCTGATTTTTGAAATATAAATGATAATGATTTAAGCATTGTTAAGATTTATTTTTTAAAAAAAACTATAATGCTCATATCAAGTTCTCGACTTTTTTTAAATTCACGACATGTTCTTTTTCTCCCCGTATCTGACCAATCTAACGTCACTCCACATGCAGTCATCAAAAATCAACCCAAAGAACATTTGTTACAAGCAAGCCAATCAGACGCTCGGGGCACAGCGGAACACCGACATTTACAAGGCAGTGAAACTAACGATGATGGTATATTTTTTCTAATAAATTATTTCTATTCAATTTTCTGCAATCAGTTACAAAACAATGGAGCGTTTAAGGTATAACTAGTTGTTTTTTTTTAATTCAATTCCTTATCAACGAGAGAAAACCGCAAAAATAAAACTTTTTCATTGAAATGTTACTATTTTGCAGACTCGGATTTTATGTCTCTCGTAGAAGCATGTAGAGAGGGAGATGTAAATAGATATCATAAGCTAACAACACCACTAGAATTTAACAAAGACTTGCTGAAAATGAAGGATAACATGGGCTGGACGGTCCTTTTTCATGCTGTATATGGAGGAAGCCATGATATAGTGTACAGTCTAGTGGGTTACAAAGAGATGGATTTATATCAAAGAGACAACATCGGGAGAACCGTTCTGCATTTGGCTGCAAAAAAAGGGAACATCGAAACTTTTGACGCCATTCTGCAAAAGGTTTCTGAAATCGATTTAATGCAGATAAAGGACAAAAATGGACTGATGCCGTACTGTTACGCCGCCCTAGCAGGACAAAAGAGTATATTGGAGGACATGAGAAGCAGAGGATTCGATATTACGAAGGTAACAAAATACGGTGAATCCATTGCACATCTAGCTTGTATCGGAGAAAGCTTAGATGTTCTGAACATGGCTTCCAAAATTGATGAAGAACATAGTACACAGGAATCGATGAACAATGAAGAAGAAATCATCAAGAGAAAAAATAAGATGGACTGGAATACCCTCCAATATGCAGCAAAGTCTGGAAACACAAAAATCTTAAAATTCTTGCATGACAAAAATGTTCTTTTGCATAATCCAACCGAAGATATGAAATCTGTCTTGCATTCTGCTTGTGAGAATGGACATCTTGAAGCGTGCAAGTATATCGCTCAACATTATCCTGAACGTATACATGCAACTGATAAGAATGGGAGACATGCTGGCCATTTCGTGGCTAAATGTGGAGATGTGGAACTTCTGAAATATCTTATTGAGGATTGTAAGCTGCAAGCAAATGCATCATCATCACAAAACATTAATATTCTTCATATTGCATGTTGTCATGGGAGACTCGATATTTGTATATATATCGCAGATAAATATCCAGATTTAGTTAAACAAGAGAGCAAAAAGGGCTGGAATGCATCTTTGTTTATAGGAGAAAAAGGGGGAGCTGATGAAGACAGGATAGAAATTTTGAAGAATTTAGTGAATAACCACAATCTCTTTGTGTATCACGTTTCCAGAGCTGGAAAAACGATTCTGTACAATGCGTGTGCCAACAGATCATACATGCTATGTGAACACCTTCTTGAAAACTATCCAAATCTTTTAACTGTTGAACGTTCAATGGACCCTCGAAATGCTGCAAGAGATTCGAGGATAACCACTCTAATATAGAGAAATACCACTAAAGAATGGCAATTCTAGCTTCAATTACAGAGAAGAGACCATATAAATCAAGGTCGCGGTCGCCAATAGGTGCTGACATGAAAAATAATACACTGCTCGAAGGTCTTATTAAGTGCTACGTACAGTAAGGTTGCAGCCCTCCAGTAGGTGGTGGTGTATGAGTGAAAAATTCTCGATGGGACGTAAAACAAACTAACACAGAGAGAAAATGAATGTGCTTGGCAAATGAATCTATGGGAATCTATTATTCAGTGAACAATGAAAATATTGATATCATATAATATACTGTCAAACTTCGAACTCTTGAACTCAATGTGAATGAGGAAGAACTCGAGATATATGTGCAAAAATTTATTCAAAAAGAAGAGGTGTAAATCAGATGTGAATACTTAAAAATTCCAAGGAACTTTTGGACAAATTGAAATCAGAAGATTTTACCAAAATCAACAACTTAAAAACTTACTATACACAACCATTCCCCACGATTAATTAAAGTCCTGGCTTTTTGATATCATTGACAGCTGCTTTTTCAAAAAGAAATGGTACTCGTAAATTAACTTACCGGCGTACCTTGTCATTGGTCATTTGCAAAATTATTTTGTTAAAAAACATTCTGATTGTACACACAAGTACTCTGAAGATGACTTCGAAAAAAATGCTTGTGTTTCTGACTGACATTTCGAACGTTCTATGCTTGATACAATGAAACCTTGTCAGCAAATACAATTTATCATTGAGTCAAATGCTGACTGACGTTTTTCATACTAATTTTTAGTCCATTATTTATACACTGAATTGACGACGGATTTTCCGTTATTTCCCGATAATGACAAGGAGCACACGGCGGCTGTGACCGGTCGGCATGGGATGCTCACTCCTTCATGGCACCTGATCCCACCTCTGATGTTTTGCAGGTCCGTGTTTGCTCTGCTCCTATTTTGTATTGTTTTATGGACTTGATATTGATTGCTGTTCGTTATCTCCATATCATTCATATGGACACAACAAATTGTTATCAAGCTCAAAAGTCCATTGAAAGAATACATATTGGAAGCAGAAAACATCAGAATTGGCATAATGTGCAATGAAGGAATAAGTATCCCTGTCAACTGTCACATCCCCTGTGTGCTCCTTGTTAAGATCAGACAACGAAAAAATCCATAGAAAATCCAGAGTGTCGTCAGTATTCGACTTATAGATAATTCTTGCTGACAAGGCCCTTGCCTTAATCACAGAACTTATGAAATAACTTTACAGACTCTTAATATCTTAATATTCTTGTTTCATCAACTTCTTTGTCAATGGCTTGCCTTATTTTAAAAACTGTTTGTACATAAACCATGTTCTTGCATTTTGAATCATTTTGGACACATCAACCCAATGTCAGTCTCTGTTGTATCTTTTATTTTCATATCACCGAGATATATCCAGTTGGGTATAAATTATTAAATGATAATACATCATCTATAAATCTGAATGTTGAGTGAAAGGTGACAGCAAGTATTTTCGCCTTTTCATGTTTTTGAATAAAATCTGTCGTAAATGAATGCAACAATAGGCCAGGTCTGTTAATAATGAAGTGCAATTGGTCCCTTTGGGAATTCTGGCAGATTGATGAAAGACGTGATCTACAAAACTACCAAGATATTGTCAATAAGAAACTAAGCATCTTTTCAATATCAACTTTAGGGTAGTTCGGTACTAAAAAATCACTGTCTAGTTAGTAAAGTATACCGGTGTAAAGACGAATAATGACCCACATCGAATAATGACCGGGGGTCATTTTTCGACAGCGAAAAATTACCCCCGGTCATTATTCGACGTAGAAAAATGACCCTTTTGCCCGTAGAAAAAGTGTCACCACCCTAAAAAATTGCAGAACCCACGTGAAGAAAAATGACCCCCGTAGAAAAATGACTCCCTGTTGATTAAAACTGAAATTTTAAGGGGGCAAAAAAAATTAGATAAAGAAGGATATTGGCCAAAATGCTCACCTGAGCTTATTTGGAATAAATTGATGATATGTTGATCTCATAACATACGATTATAGCTATATATTACAGGCACGTAGCATCGTTTTTGAAAGTGGGGGGGGCCAACCTGAGAAAAAAATTTTTTTACTTACCTGAAAAAGTTGACAAGCCAAAAAAAAAAAAAACAAAAAACAAAAAAAAAACAAAAAAAAACAAAATTAAAAGTTGCCCAAACTCGAAAATCTTATTTCGTGGGGGGTAGGGGGGGGGGGGGGGGGGGGGGGGGGGGGGGGCCAACTTTTTCAAAGCCAACTTACTATCACTTCAAATTTTTTCCTTACAATTCTTGCTACCACTATACTATGGTTATATGGTGGAAGAAAAAATCTTCAGTATCATATATTATTTTATTCTCCGCTTGAAAAGCGGGAGGGTATATAGTGATTGGGATGTCCGTCCATCTGTTACGCCTTGGGGTATCCATCCGTTATCCGCAACTCCTCTTATATATAAAAATATGTATTTGTAAAACAGCTATGCCCCTGAATGGCAACATAGCGAAGATTAGACTTTTCTTAAAGGCAATTTAAATATAATGGTACCCAAAGTAGGGTCTTCTCACAAGAAATAAAATTGCAAAATAGGAAAGCCCCAGCACCAATTGTTCAAATTAATGGCTAAGGATAAGTGTTTGAAAGGTGGGTCAAACTCAAAGGTCAAAGGGTCAAAGTTGATGGTCTCTTAAGAAAGGTTTAATATAACAAGGATTACATTTGTAAGTATGAGAGTACTAGTTCTACCGTTTAAAATTTATAGCGAAAGTAAATTAATTAAAAATTTGACATTTTTGTGTAAAATGGGACAAACTGCAAGGTAAAGGTCAAAACGTCAAATTTGGTGGCACCCAAAGTAATGTCTTGTCACAAGGAATGTACACAAATTGAATATGAAAGACATAGCTACAATAAATGAAAAGTTATGGTAACGGTTAAAGTTTTTGCGGAAAAACAGACCGCCAGATAGACAGACAGACATACAGACGGACACGATAAAACTATATACCCCCGAATCTTCGATTACAGGGATATAAAAAGAAAAATATGCTCTGTAAAGCTATGGGCTAGTGTAAAATACACATTCTAATGCAAAAACTATACATGTAGACATAACCTTTTAATTTAGCACACAGTATTCATTGCATTTCTTAATTCTTGTTTTACTCAACGATTTTACCCAGTCCTGAGTATATTTTTCAGACAATTTAATATGAAAATCAGAATAAACATTTTCATTTTTGTAACGTCTTCTTTATACTGTATCATTATATGAAAAGTTAATTGAAGACCATTTAGGTGTTATACCCACCCCCTTACTTATTTAGGAGGAAGTTGATTATCAACAAAAGCAACAACAACAAAAAAAATACCCTACCTTTATTTTTCTATAAGGAGGCACTAAAAATAAGCTTAAAATAATCTACTATTCTACTAATTTTTCAACTGTTACTCTGCCACAATATTTTCAAGTATACCCCCACCAACATTTAAACTATGCTTTAATCATGGCGAAGTAAATTATGATATGATTGAACTTGTGTGAAGGCTTAACTTCATTTCTATATTTTATCTAGAACCTCTTTCAGTATTATTGAAAGGTATAGAGTTTTATTCATATTTTTGCTTCTCATTTTTTTTTGTTTGATTTAACGTAATTTTTTTTTGAGGGGGGGGGGGGGGGGGGTAAAAATTTCCTCCTCTGTCAAATAGGATTTGCCAAACTTTTACAAGCTATAAAAGTTGAAATGAAGGAAAAATTAATTTTTCTATTAAAGAGTATTGGAATCTGATTGTTGCATGGTTTGATTTCTAAAAACAAATTTTATTTAATTGAAAATTAAAGAATCTCTTTTCACTTTAAAGGGGGGTCATTTTTCAATGGGGGTCAATCTTTTATAGGACTAACATATAAAATAATGAACCCTAGGACACTTTTTCTACAAAAAATGATTTTTTTTCTACGGGTAGGGGGTCATTTTTTGTGGTTGAAAAATGACCCCCGGTCATTTTTCGATGGGGGTCATTATTCGTCTTTACACCGGAGCATCAACGACAGTCGGAAACAAAAAAATATCCCATGTTTCCCACTATTGTTGATGTCCCTGGCATACTATACTAACTACACATTGATTCCATATATTTCGATTTCTTTGTGAAATACAATTGTAGATTTAGCTTTAAAAATGTAGACAAGATTTTAAATTACATCAGGACTCCCATGCAGATTTCAATAGTCCTCGCCCACTGACGTCAAACACAAATTAAGGCAGCTGCAAGAGATTTACATGCATCTTTGGCCTCCTCAGCGTCAGACACAGAGACATATGCGCACGAGATTTTCATGCAAATTAATTAGGCCTCCTTAGCTCCTGACCTATCGACCTGCCTAATTTACATTCCGGTACAATTATCAAGAAATCAACTCCGCTAACTTTCAAAGAGTTCTATAATTAGAAATGGAAATATCAATTACAATTATAATGAGTTTTGAACAAACTAATTTTGTAAATGACCAATGACAAGTTAGTAAATTTTTGAGTTCCATCTTTATTGCTGTCCATTACTTGAAAAAGCTTAGATTTGTTGTGGGGAACGGTTGTATAGTGTTTAAAAGTCGTACATTTGGAAAGATACTTTATAATCAAATCTTGCTTTATTTTTTTTTTTTTTTCATTAGAAAAAATCCGTTGTCAATTCAGTGCAAAAATAACAATTAGTTTATGAAAAACGTCAGTCAGCATTTGACTCAGTGATAAATTGTATTTGCTGACAAGGTCATTGTATCGACCATAGAACTTACGAAATGATGACTTTAAACGAACCTGCTTATATTCTTGTTTCATCAATTTGCTTGCAAATAATTTAACCCGTTTGAGAAATTGTTCATATGTAGAGCATACTCTTGCGTATCGAATCAACATTTATCAACTCCGTATGCAGGTGATGAAGGTACATTGCTGCATAAGTAAGGGAGTTGACGATAAAAAAGTTTTAAAAAGTCATCATGTTTATCATAGAGTTTGGTTGTTAGATTACCATTAACTTTTTTCAAGTAAAAT